AGATTTTTCATTGGTTTCAATGAAAAATCTTTCAATTCATAGCCTATATATAATCCGGGTTTTATTTTGAAAGATCAGATATAACATAGTACACCACTCATATAAATGATTTTAGTTTTAAATTATATTTTAAGGAATAAACTATTTTTCCAAAACGTAGTTCTCATATTATTTCTAGTGATGTTAAAAACTAAGTAATATAAAATTTAATTAATAAAATTGTCATATGAAATAACTTAAAATTCAGTAAATAATACTATTGATATAGGGCGTATAATTTTAAAAATTATAAACCGTGATTAATTTTACCAAAGATTGTTATTATTTACATTTAGAAATGTCACTAATATTATAAGTTGTTATAATGCAAATACCGTAAATGAAACTATCTGATGATAAGGTTAGTTTCGTTACTGACTGATTTTAAAATTTAAATTTTACCAAGGTATGAAAATTACTATATGATTAAATATTGACAATGGTTATTTGTTTCAAAATATTACGTAAAATTTTAATTGTATTCAGCTAGTATCTCAGCGTTAAATGAATAAATTTTAGTGAAATCACCATGGTCATGTACGTACCGGCCATTATCTGGGTGTAGGCCAATTCAAAAGCGGTGGCGCTGGACGAGCAGGCGGTGTCCACTGTCATCGACGGCCCCTTCAAGTCAAACACAAACGATATACGGCTCGCGTAGAAAAGGTTTTGCTCGCATGTGGTCCGGTAGAAGTGGGACTGCATGTTTCCAGGGATATCCGGCTGAAACATATCCGTAGTGATGTGTCCCATGACCGACATGTCCATAGCGCCTACGTATACTCCAGTATTACTGCCCCTCATGTTGTTAGGGTTGACACCTAGTACACGTTATAATAATAGTACATGATTAATTTTGTCATATTTAATAAATAAAATGTAAATATTATTAATTTTTTAAATATTTATCTCTATAAGGATTTTAATTTTAATAAACTTATATTTGAATATAGTGGTCTTGTTATTAATTTAACTAAAATAAAAATAAATACACTTAAAATTATGATAGGTTTTGTTTATTTTGAATGTCGCATACATACCGGCGTCTACGATAGCCTCGTACACAGTTTCCAATTGCATACACCCCTGGGGGTCCAGGTTATTGACCACTGCCTCCGTTAGACCAAAGAATGTCGAGTCAAACCGATTGTAATTTAATATCTTTCCGAACCTATTGTTCACATTAAATATGTCTGAAACCCATACAAAGCATTAAAAGTATTTTAAAATAATTATTAAATTCAAAAAACTTGTAATTAAACAAAACATATGACAAACCTCTGGGCCATCGGGTGTCGTCCTCCGTAACCATATCAACGCCGGCGAATAGATTGCGGGCGAACTCATCGGTGGTGTCCGCCATCGGGAACCGACCGGACATACCAGAGATCACCACATCGTTCACAGACATATTTATAATATTTTAGGTCATATATTATTTATACTTAAAAATACAATTTATTTTCAAATGTCAATATTTTTATCACACGTTTTAAGGTACGATAGACACAAACGAGTGAGTACTCAGTGGTATAAAGTGGGTTACAGTATATATTACTATATATATGCTTAGTTACAAGTATTACAAAATTATAGTTGAAAAGATGTATTATATCCCAATATAAAGGTTTATATAATGTAATTTTATGTAATAATTATGAGCAAAATGTAGAAATTCAACATTAAAACTGATGACCGATAAACAGGGATATCAATAATGGCCCATTAATACAGAGATGCAAATCTTTATTTAATTACATATTTAACCTTAAGGTATCATATAAAGTCAGTCAAGTGAATCTGCAACGATAATTTGTTTAATAGCTCGCTTATTAATTGTAACAAAAATCTATACTTTGGCACAACTATAGATCATTATGAGGTAGCCATGATGAAACAAGAATATTCTATATGACATTAAGAATATTCTGTGATATTGGATGATTTGCTGGACCCATATTCAGTGCAACGATTGCTAATGTTAAAATGATACTAAGTTAGGGTAGGTAGAAGGAATTCTATATTTCAATAATATCAAAAAATAATTAAAAATATATCGCATGCCTGCCTACAGTTTAACTTTAAACGTGATAAATTCCGCCATAGACTCTCATATGTTTGGTAAATAAAATAAAATATTTTAAAATGTTTTGTGCTCACCATAAGCGATAATAAATTCTAATATGACTTACACAAAAATTAATTTTTTATATAAACATTTTCTTGTTTCATAAATTGTTTTATAAATTCAAAAAGTGCATTATTTTCCCTTTTTATTGATTTTTAAAACTCATAATAACCACCTAAAACTAAAATTTTTAAAAATCTTTGTTCTATACCAGTTTTCCAAATAGGGTGAGCCAAAGTATAGATTTTTGTTACAATTAATAAGCGAGCTATTAAACAAATTATCGTTGCAGATTCACTTGACTGACTTTATATCGTAATCGTGTACAATACGGTAGTTCCCCGAAAAGTTCCTAAATAATTTTAAATTTTAAATAGAGATTTTTGTATAAATAGCAACAGATTAAATTATAAGTTAAAAGTCCAGGGCAATCGTGTATGATTATAAAGGTTATTTATGATTTGGTTTGTTCATTCAACTATAAAATAAACAGGAATTGTTAGTACTGCTATAGAAACTACAGCTAATTATCACTTGAAATTTATTAATAGATTAAAGTATCTATATTTTTATAATAATTAACATTAACCATACTTTCAGGTTTTGAAAAAACATTTAAAATCCATAATTTCAATGCCATTTGAAAGTTCGTAATAAAATACTTGTTATTTCATGTCATGTAGGTTCATTGAGTTCATAGGAAAGTTTATTTACTAAAATTATTTATCTTAACACTTTTAGATTATAAATACTTATCAGAAATTACTACTATATATGGATATAAATAGTAAATATAAAATATATAGCTATGTTTTAATTAAACAAGTCAATGTATGCTAGTTATAAACTGTTTTATCAAAAAAAAAAACAATTTAATTAATCTTGAATTACACATTATCTCATAATATTACCTTTACTTTTTGGGGTACTTTATTTGAGACTTATGTTTCATTTATTATAATTAGTTCTGAATTGATAAATATTTACTATCAATTACTGGTTAGATTTTTGACTATAATTAACATTTTATTTATGCAATAAAAAGAACCCTTAAATGCCTAAAGCATTCTGCTATAGTATCACAATATGAGAGGGAACATTCTGAATCATGCAATGTTTCTGTGAAAACAAACTGTAAACTGAACTATTTCACTTAATAAATTATCATAATATTACAACAAATTTGGGTATATTATACAGTAGTATTAAGTGAAATACCTGAGTTTACAGTTTGCTTGCACAGACACATCCAATGATTCAGAATGTTCCCTCTCATACTGAAAGAACTATCCTATAATTTTAGCATAAAAGAGAAACAGCAACTTTAAAAATTGAATTATATCAAAAGCTACAGTACTGGAGAAGTTTGTAAATGTTTCAAAACATTTTGTACATAAACATACTGATAGACGAACAGAGGTTGCAATTCATAGCACACCACAGACTAAGGTTATTTTTGCATTATAAATATAATATATTTATAAAGTTTATTTTAAAATAAAGTAAATTTTAAAATTTATATAAATATAAATATAATATATATTATATATTTTATAAAAACACATAAATATAAATAAAATTAGTACTAGAATAGCTATGCAGCATAGCCTATGCTTCATGCTCTCTACATGACCATTTATAAATATGTGCCTCACTTTATACCGGCATAGTAAGGTATCATAAAGCCATTTTTGTGAAAATGATCAACTTCATTTATAACGGCATGCCGGTGTTTGCGGGGAATACGTTAAAATGTTATTTACTTAATCATAAATTTTTTTCAAAAGTCAAATTACAAAATAAATTATTTGAAACGGCTATATATCATTTTTAATTAAACATTTATATTAAGCAAATAGAATTGCTAATTGTCATAGATAAAAAATATGCACTATAAACTAAAAATGAAATAATGTTAATTTTTCATAATAAATATATAAATTAAAACAATTTAATTATGCAATCTAAAAATAATATTTTAATTTGCATTAAATATTACAGTAAAATTCAAGACTCAATAAAGTCATTGACTTTACAATCAGTCAACTCCTCCACGGAATGCTCCCATAGGGCTCTACCATCACCGC